TTTTTTAGTTTATCACAAAAAGCTCATTTCAGTAAATATTAGGAAACCTAATAAATAAGCCATAAAAATTTTAAGATACTTGTGAGCAATAGTTCCTGAGAAGAGGTACATCGGGTATAAAAAAATCACGTTTGGAGAAAAACGCGTTTTTATGTAAAAATCCTCATTGATCAAAGCAGTCGATGACAAATTAAAACTAGATTTCTGACAGTTCTAATATTCATAGAGATTAAAGAATGGTATTTTTAGAAAGATAAAAGTGTAAAGAATTTGAAAATGCAAAAATCCGAAATAACAATTTTTTGAAGATTTTGGGGTTCCAATAGCCCTTAGGAAACCCTAATCTAGATGAAACTCGCGATCGCGTTTTTACGTTTCCGGCTGTGGAGGAGGCTAACGACACATTCAATTTCCTCTTTCGATTCTTTATCTCAAAGGTTCGTTAGACCTAAAGGACTATTAGTCTCAAAACGGCATTTTGTGTCGCTTCACTTTCTGCGTTGGTTCACTTTTCAAACTGCTGCTACCAAATATTATCCCCATGCATTATACTTGAAGAAACTAAAGAAGAATGAATGAATGAATTCATGCAGGAAGAATCTGCATGAACGCATGAATTTCTGGCACTGTGGAAATACAACGGTACCTAGAGCAATCAAATTTTGAATAACGTAGTCTTCCAACCGAACATAGGCACCTGGAAGTCCGAATTTTGAGTTTCAAATATGTTTTATTATCTATTTCAAATATTGTTAAACTCTAACGAATTTTTGATTTACAAACTCAAAGATTTCAAAGCGAGCAATGGCAACACTGTACGGAAGAAAACATTTTTATCTCTATCGCTGGAGACCGTGTATCGAAAATTCTAAATATAGTACTGTTTTTAAATATTTTGCGATATTGGTGTTGAATTTTATGTGGTTTAAGAGCGAAGAACATGATGTTAAATAAATAAAGGTAACAAACAAAATGTTAAAAATAAAAAGCCTTTTTGGGCGTAAGATAAAATCTGAAAGCTTTCAGACTTTTTTTTCGGGAGGAGGAGTGTTAGCAGTATCAAACGCAAAACAGCGATGTTTTCAAGAAACCGGCAAGATCGAGAGCATGACCAATGTCTGCCCGTTAAACAAACCCGAAACTTTAATGTCTGTTGTCCTGAAATTTCTTGATCAGTTTGCTAACTCTTAACTCATTAGACGTACGTTCACGTTTGAAGACTGCAGGAAGCTTTCTAACGATTCCCACATAACACTCGTCATTCTTACAACGAATTTTCAAAACCAAAACTCGCTGTTCCTTTTGTGTACACCTCAGCTGCAATGAAGCTGAGAAGTGAACTGCCAGTGATAAAATAACCAGTGTTGCCAGGTCAAATACAACTCGGCATTACTAGATCAGAACATCTGTAATCGGAACATTGTAAATATGCAAAAATATTTTTCATTTTCTAGGAATAATATATTCTTTCAGGTATATTAATTCCGGTGCTGTCTTTATTGAAACACCCTACATAAATCTGCCAGACGCAAATAATTCAACACGAAACCACCGTTCACCAGCCTGCGAGGAATGAAGTTGATGAACTGATAGTTCAACCTGAATTCCAGTCTCTGCAAACGAAATGTCTTGATGGGAATTTTCGTGGCTTTCCCTATGTGTAACATTGATACGAGTCAATTTCAGTTAGATATTCCTCCACGACGGCATCCTACCCCTTTAAGCTGATATCCCTCGAGTGCTTTGCCATAATAAAATAAACCATTCAACATTGAATCAACTCCCGGCGATTGGGCGGCGTGCATGGACTATACCAGTGCTCCGCAACCTTTTCTCACCTGCGACGCACAAAAAATCTTTCTGGAATTTCGTGGCACACCAAAGAGTTCCGAGTTATCAAGGATATGCCGAAAAATTTCAAATGCTGACACACTTACAATCACACACACAACCACACAACAGTGAAATATATAAAAACATTTAAAATAGACATTATTAAGGAAAAAAAAATTGTCATTGTGTATTAAATACATTATAAAAAATTGCAAAATGTCAAATACATGTATTTGATTTCGGCACACCTATATGCTACTCATGGCACACCAGTGTGCCGCGGCACACCGGTTGCGGAGCACTGGACTATACTGTTGGTTTCGCCATGTGTAACGTGGAGAAAAGCTAGTTTTCCTTAAAACTTCCTCCAAGTCTACACCACTGCGAGCAATTTCTTAAATACATTTTCTTTTTTATTTTTCAAACAGAAACTTTTTACAATTTGATAAAATTTAAGAGTTCACAAAAAAGTAGTTTTAAAAGTGTTTAATGATATCGTAATATACAAACAGCTCGCCCAAGACCTCAGATCAAGTTGAGCAAGAAACCTTAGAATTTAAAAAAAACTTATACGCAACATATTCTGTACAGCATTATTGAAAGTGATACTAGAACTACTACAACGCGTACTAATGAAGAACAACAACAACAAAAAAAAAAAAACTGTGTTAGCTAAAACAAATTGTTATACTTCAGAAATTTAATCCTAATGCGCTATTTAAACATTCGAATATTGCCAAATGTAATTCGCCCGCCAATTAACAATGGAACATACATTAAGCTTAATTAGATCTTTCCTACATTTGAACTTTTGGTGTAATTAGGCAATACACGCGTCTAAAATCTGTATTTCTTCAAACGCTTGGTATCACAATCAGGAATAATACTGCACACCATTTTCGTAAAATGTCTAAATCCCAACAGGGGCTATGTAGACATCCTGAGGGGGGGGGGTCAATGGAATTTTAAAGAAGATCAATGACGACCATGGGGGTCGACAGCCACATATAGTAGATTGGCATAATCAAGATCTCATTGATAGCAAAATTTTATTAATAAAAACTAATAATCAGCTGTTTATTGATTAAGAAAGCTATATCAAATAGTATGGAAGCAATAACAGGAAAAAAATATAACGGAGATACATAAAAAGTATATTTTTAAAATAATACTTTTTTTTAAACATACAAACTTTTTAAGCAATACTTGCAGCTTAAAAAAGTAGAAAAAAAAAGAAAAAGGAAGAAAACCAAACTAATGAATCGCAGCAAAATCTTGAGCCTATTCTTTTAGCCTCGCCGGCCGTTGTAACTTATTAACATAAGTTATTCTCAAATGACAATTACGTCACAAATATGTTAATTTAGATTTGGCAAGAAGAATGCACGCTAACGGCTGTTCCTCTTCACCGTTACAGTTATATTATTTGCTCTGTTTTTTATAGAGGAAATGTAAGCGGGGGGATGAAATAAGCTATTATTTTGAAAGAGGTCAATGCAAAAAAAAAAAAAAAAAAAAAAAATATTGGAAATCTTTGGTTTAAATCATTAAATCATTATGCAAAACATCTTATCGTTTATAACCCTTATTTATCAATAAAAAATACTGAGCAGCAAAAAATTCTGAAATTGAGACAAACAATTAATATCCTTAATTTAAAGCCCTTCATACCTTATTAAATTCATTCAATAATTTAAATGAATTTTACAATTTAAAAGGAGGATTACAGTAATTTTCGATTTAGTAAACAAAAACGGACAGCCAGCTAAAAGTCGCGTGCGAAATTACCCATTTATCACACTTTTAGATTTATTTCTAGCACACTGGTCGCCCATTGGAAAAAAAAAAAAAATATCGGCATTCTTCTGGTTTCGAGACTGGATTCAAGAAATGTATGTATGCACGTGCGTATGTAGGTGTGTGTGTGTGTGTGTGTGATTATGGCAAAGCCTCGAGGGCTATCTGCCTAGGGTGAGGGATGCCTTCGTGGAGGACTTTCTAAGGGAAACTGGCTCGTATACACGTTACACATAGGGAAAACCACGAAAACGCCCATGCAGCCAGCCCATTCGCGGGATTCGAACCTCGGACCGAACTACCAGTGTTCAGAGACTTTACCGCTCGGCCGCTGGTGGGCCGTATGTAGGTATGTGCGTATATGTCTGTATACACGCACACACATATATATACATGAAGACATACATACATGCATAAATAATACATTTCTGAATGTAGTCCTGATAACAAAAGAGTATCAAAATAACTCCCAACCACTTATACACAATTAAAATGTATTAAACATACATACTCAAATACTTTAACGGCAGCATGCATTTCAGGGTTACAACGCGTGTTTACTTATTGCGCTATCAGTTTCTAAAACATAATTGACCACAAAAGTTTACATTCATAACAAACTACAACTGAAATTTGGAATGTGTCATGGCTTAGCACGTATTTATACGCTGAAAATGCTCATTACACCGTTTTCAATCAAACGCTGTACCATTTCCTTATTATTATTACTGCTGTTACTTATTTAAATAGAATCCCTTTTCATCTGCTTCTTGTAAAAATCCCGTTTGCGATAAATTTCATTACAAAATTTTAATTAAAATATACACAAAAAGATATATATAATATAGCTACAGAATTTGTTAAGAGATACATTCATGAGTATGCCAAAAGAATTAAAAAATATTATTCTGCAAACACAGTAGGGATACAAAACAAGTATTATAACAACATATTGAGGACGTAAGTTTTAAGAGTCATTCTCATTTAACAGTTACTCACATTTAAGAGTCATTCAAGCATAAGGATTTAAGTTTTAAGAATAAATCATAGTTAAAATAGAAGCAGCGCTCGGAAATCACATTCGAACTCGAACTGAGGAAGCATTCGAACTTGAGGAATATATTCGAAATGAAATAGTTCACAAGAATGTCCATATAAAAGGTATAAATATTACTTAACATATATTTACACTATTCGAACGATCAGCGGAATTAATACAGAAAATATATATATATACGTTGATGCCATGACAACATGTCAAAAATATTCTGCTCAAATTTCGTGGGTTTCGCACATGAAGGCTAATATGAAAGAAAATTCGTATTAATATATACCCAAAAAACTTATGAAAGCTAATCTAAAACACTTACCTTTAAAACTGTGCTTCTGTCTCCGAAAATTTCGAGAAAATAATTCCAATAATATTTCGATATTTGTCTTTCTTGAATTACTTAAAAAATATTACGATATAATAACTACTACAACTTTCTCAGCAATTTCAGTTTTTGTCGAGCTGTCTTTCGCTATCGATTTTAGAGTCATGTTCATCGATGGTTTACGGAAGAACTGCGTTCGGCGAGATCACGTGAATGCCTACGATAGATATTGGTTGAAAAGATACCCTCTCCTAACAATGTTCGCCGCAAAACTGAAAGCTCTCTCCTCACAGTTCCTATAACAGCGCTTGCGCCACTAGGGTTGCTATAAAATCTCCTATTTCGTCGCCAAATTTCGATGTGTTGATATTAATTTCAGACCCCTGAGGGTATATATTACGTATTCTTATTTTACGGGATTCTTAATTTAGTTTAAAACTCTAAAATAAATCAAATGTACGTATGCACTTGCTTAGAACGCACTAAAATACCCAAAACTCTGATGATAAAAAATACCAAAAAACGTAAAATAATGCTAAAAATAATTAAATGAATTATGAAATTATTTTCGGATAATATAATTTCTAGAAGCTGAAATAACAAATGTTTAATGCAAGAAATGCACATCAACTTCAACTGCTACCGATATTAATAGTAAATGGTAAAGGATCTTTAATTTCAAGAGACAAACAACAGCTCTCTCTTCTTCATGCTCAGGTTTCTTTAATTATGGCAAAGCACCCTATGGCTATCTGCCTGAGGGATGCCATCCTGATGGTTTTTCTAAGAGAAACTGGCTCGTGTATAGTTAACATCGGGAAAACCACGAGAAAGGAAATGCCATTTTTTTTTTCCGTGGATTCGAGCCTTGGACCGAACTACCAGAGCTAAGCGACTTTACTACTCAGCCGCTCTCTTCTCTTCTTTAGAAGCAAGTGGTTTAGGTTCTCAAAATCAAGGCAGTTTAAAGCTTCAAAACAATGCAGAAAAATTCAGAAAAAGAATCATATTATCAGAAAGAAAAAAAAAATTAAATATATCTAAAGCTTCTTCAGTAATTTAATTTTAATTAGATTTTCCCTATTATAAATTGATTTTTGGTATTGGAAGGATAGATGGCAACCCTGTTGACATTGTATATTCACTTTGGAGAAACGGTTGACATATTGTGAGAATCTTCCACAGCCAGTTTATAGCCAGAGTCAATATACTCCCGAAACTTAATGTTAGCTCTTAAAACAGAAAGCATACTAGAAGAAATACTTGGCAAGTTTCTTTAGGATAACTTTGTATATAGGGATTTTTCTTATTTCTGTTTGTAAAAATTTACCCCTCACACCAAAAACATTGATCCGCTTCTGAAAAGTAAATAAAAAAAATTACAACTTACTACAGTTTTTAATTATAGTCTTCCCAAAATAATACAAAATACATAAATATAAAAATCTGATGTGTACACCACATGACTTCCTTGTACGGAATATTAAATTATACGCATTTTTTCTTGCATTTCATTTAAACTTATTGGATTGAATTAAATCTACTTCGCCGACAGCGCATAAACCACAATAGAATAAATGCATTCTTTAAAATTCACTCTAGTATTTGTTTACCATAGCGACACTCTGGCGCTAGATTCACTTAACAGTATTATATTTCGTTCATATTATAACTCATAATGCACAAAATTTATATCATTTAAAGAATAGAATTATCTAACCGTTGCCACGTGTTCTATTCAAATACTATAATAAAGCTAGAACGATGTATAAAAGAAATTAAGCAAACAAAACAAAAAAGAAACAGTTTTTCACAGACGATTGAGTATTTCTCATTCAATTAATTCAGTTCTCACTTCGCGAGAAGGCAAAAATACATAAAAACTCAAAATATCTATATTAAAATTTACGAAGTAAATCGTAAACACTTATTTCCTCGAAAAAATTCCAGAAAGGATTAAGCAAGATTTATTTGGCAATAATAAATGAAGGTGTTATCTTTATTGTTGCAAAACTAAGTTTCTATAGATTGGCAACAAATCCACTAGTCTGCTGTTTCAAATGTAAACAATCAATGGCCGCCATAAAAAAAAAAGGCTTAGCGGCACTTAAACTACTTTAAAATTGTTGCTAATTCTAAAAATATTACATACAGATTTACTAAAGGCATAAAAACCTTAACCGGAAGATAAAAACAACATAATTCAATCATTTTTAAAGCACAAAATGTACAATTTACAAACATATACGTATACGAGTAAAGAAACTGAGATCACTGAGCCGGGTAACAGAGTGGATATATATATTTATATACGTTTGCTGCTGCCGATTGCAACCAAAATACGAGGTGCACATTTACATGTTATAGCAGTCCTATATACAAAAATTCAACGTTCTGAGGCTACTCGTTTTTGAGTTATGCGAGATACGTACATACGTTCGTACAGACGCTACGAAAAATTCTCTTCAGAATTTATTTTAAAGCAGTTTTATAATTTTCTTGGAGGAAACGAGTCTTTTAGTCTGTCCTTACGTACAGATATCACGCAAAAACATCGTTAAATTGCATTCGATAGCGGTCAAAATGGATATTTTCGTTGAAATATGCTCCCTGAAACTTTTCGCGATTACAATACTTCCTTTTTATTTCGTACAAGGAAGTAAAAAGAAAATCTTAAAGGTTTCGGATTTTATATTACGTCCAAAGGGGCGTTTTTTTAACATTTTGTTTGTTGACTTTATTTACTAAATATCATGTTCTTCGCACTTGGAAAAAAAACTATAAAATTCTGTTCAAGAGCAATATCGCAAAATAATTTGAAATTGAGCATATCGTTAGAATTTCCGATACACAGCCTCACGCGTTGGAGATAAAAATGTTTTTTTCTGTACAACGTTCCTATTGTTCGCTTTGAAATCCTTGAGATTGTTTATCAAAAATTCGTTAAAGTTTTACAAAATTTGAAATCGATAATAAAACAAGTTTCAAATTTCAAATTTGGGCTTCCATATGCCCATATTCGCAGTAGGATCACGTCATTCAAAACTGGATGGCTCTCTAGGTAACGTTGTTTTGTCAGAACGCGAGAAACATACATACATTTATGCGGATTCTCCCTTATTTAATTTCTTCAAATATAATGCAAGACTCTAACATTTGATGGCAACAGTTTGAAAAGTGAAACGGACATTTATAGTAATTCGACACAGAATGCTGTTTCGAGACTAGTAGCCCTTCTGAGCTAACTTCCCTTTGGGCTAAAAATGTCGAAATGAAAAATGGGGAAATAAATTCAAATACGCTTTAATTAAAAAAAACTTTAATCCCAATACTTAAAAGTTATACTTAATAATATATAACTATATTTAACAACATAAGTTTTTTTAAGCATCGCCTTTTAGTTTGATATAATTCTCGCAAAACTATCAACGTTATTGTAGAATGTAAAAGATCTAGTTGACTGCTACAGTTATTGCTACGTAGATTGTGCAGAAAAAAATTCTTAAATGCAAAATATTCATTTGTAGGCTTCTTAAATGATATTTATTTCGAAAGCTTTTCTCAGAAACTAGCAACATTTGCAGCAATCGTGAGTAAAATTCGCGGTAATGTTACAATACTTAGAACTTTGTTCTTTAGATTCTGGTTTAAAATAAAATGCAAAAATTCAAAATCACCACCATTTTACATTTTTGTTTTCTTAGCAACAAATGAAATAAAACTCTGAAACATTTGTCTCCTAATGAGGAATTCTTCTTTAATAATGTTACCAAGATCATAATTTAGTTGTGTAGAGTCATTAGGTTTTTTCCCGAAGCAGAAGACATGAAAAATCAGCAGTGCCTTTGCCGGGACTCAAACCTAGACCCCTCAAATATGCGCCGAGTGTGCTAGCTGTTACACCACGAAGGCATGAAGAAAAGAGGAAGAAAATAGCCTTATATACTCCCCCTTTGAAGAACTTTGGCGTCTTTCAAAATTTGTCAAAGAGTTTTGAAGAAGTTATTAAAAAAAGAGCATCTTCTACATGTTGAATAATTGTCAACACCATTGAGCCTATCTTGGGTCTGCCAGATAAAAAGAGTTGCAAAATGTTTTATTCTACGGTAATCATGAAGTGAAACAGACATTGTTTTGCAGCAAGAATTACTAATTATACCTTGTAGAGACATTAGGATTTTTTGGAAGCAGGAGACTTGAAAAATAAGCAACACCTTCGCCGGGAATCGAACCACAGACCTCTGAAATATGCGCCCAACGTGCAGACCTCTACACTACGAAGGCACGCTAGGAAGGCGGGAATACTCTCCTTATATACTCCCCCTTTTAAAGGGCGACTTTTAAAGGTTAAGGTTTTTATGCCTTTAGTAAATCTGCATGCAATATTTGTAAACTTATCAACAATTTAAAAGTTGTTTAAGTGGGCTAATTATTTTTACTATAGCGGCCATATTTGTTTAGATTTAAAACTTAGCAGAATAGTGGATTTGTTGCAAATCTAGATAAATTAAGATTTGCAACAACAATGTAATGGTTATGTAAATGCTATACGCGTAGAGCAGGGGGCCGGACAAACTCGTTTTCCCTATTCGTTGCAAAAAAGCGGGATCAACGTTGCTTGAACCAAAGCAAAAAGAGAAATTTACTTCCTTGGAAAGAAACAGAAATAGTAAAAAATATTGTAAAGCATTAAAAGATAATGTAAATGTGACAAATGAAGGTAAAACATAGGGTGCGGGAGAATTTTAAAAGTTTCATTGGATATAACGCATAAATTGTTTCTCCCTTTAAATTAGAATCAGATACCAATTTGCGATATGTTTACATTTGTCATATGTAATATTATGAGATTAAAAATAGTTATATTGTAGAGACATTGGGTATTTTTTTCCGAGCAGGAGAAATAAAAAATTAGCAACGCCTTCGCCGGGAATCGAACCACGGACCTCTGGAATACCGACCCAGCGTGCAGAAACACTACACCCCGAAGGAACGTTAGGAAAGCGGGAGAAATACCTTATAATATTATACGAAAATGTTTTTTAGCGTTTACAAATTTATATTTAAATTTAATTTGCAATTTCTCATGACCATGTATTAAAGGTAAGTTGTGAGAAAAACTTTAAATTCGGTTTTCACAAAACAAATTTTTTCGCAGATCGTATATCTTGAAAATACTCCTTGCGACTTATTTTTAGTTCAAAATGAATGATATTTGGAAGAAACTATCTTGTTATATGTTATAGTAAACTGTGTATGC